GAGGATGCAGAGTTGGACGCCGAGATCGAGCTGGAGCTGGCGCAGGGCCCCGGGGGTGCACGCCGGGTGGATGCAGACAGGCCTCCCTCGCCCCAGGAGAGTCCGGGTGCCAGGGACACCCCAAACCTCCTTGTCGCACGCAAGGTGTCCGTGTCCAGGATGCTCTCGCTGCCCAACGACAGCTACATGTTCCGGCCTGTGGTGCCTGCGGCGGCGCCCCACCCCCGCCCACTGCAGGAGGTGGAGATGGAGACCTATGGGGCCAGCACCCCCCTGGGTACGGCAGCCGGTGGGGCCAGCAGGAAGACGCAGGCTGGGTGGGAAGCAGGACAGGGCAGTGAGAGGGAGGATGGCCGGACAGGGAGGAGGATGGGGCAGGCCAGGGTGGGGCAGGAGGGAGGGTGGGTGGGAAGGAGGGTGGGGGCAGGCAGGAGGGAGGATGGAGGCCAGGTCGGGGAGGCCGGGTGTGGGCAGATGAGGGGAGGACTGGGTGGGCAGGTGAGAGGGAGGACGGATCGGGCCGGGGCTGGCCAGGAAGGAGGATGGTGGCAGGTTAGGGGAGGACGGGGTGGGTGGAAGCTGGGCAGGAAGGCAGGGGCAGAGCTGCCAGCTTAGATTCTCCCCTGCCCCAGGCTCTGTGGCCTCTGCACACTCGCCGCCCGCGGAGTCCTGTGCCTCCCTCCAGATTCCATTGGCTGTGTCGTCCCCAGCCAGGAGCAGCGAGACCCTCCACGCCCTGTCCCCTCGGGGCACAGCCCGCTCCCCTAGCCTCAGCCGGCTGCTCTGCAGACAGGTAGGAGAAGCTATTGCCTGCAGTGGAGGCTGGCGGGGGTGGGGGGCTTACAGGGATGCCGTCTCTCATCTGAAGGACCAGCAGATGAGGACAAGGCCCAGGGAGGGTGGCACTGGGTCCTTGGGGCTCTAAAGTTTTCTGCCTGCTGCTTGGTGGATCGCGGAGCATTGGGCCCAGGTGGGTCTTCAGGCCTGTGAGCCTGTCTGTGGCTACAGAGCTCCTGGCTACGGGGACCCGAATCTTCTTGGAACCACAGCCTCAGGCCCCAGGGTGGGCAAACAGCAGTTTCTCAGGCCCACCCCACGACAGGCAGACGGCAATTTTCCAGGCCCCATGTGGGCGTGTGTCCCATGGTGGGCAGACAGCGGCTTCTCCGGTCCTGGTTTGTGCTCAGATGTCCCAGCCTCACCCACTTGCAGCCTCAGCTCCTCTTCCTGCCTCTCCCTGCCTCTTGCTGCCCAGTGCAAGACCCCCGTACCGCATGGGAGCAGTTAGGAGAGCTCCATCCTGGGGGTGCCCAGCTGGGCTGCTGGTGTCCCGGGGTGGGGAGGTAGCCTCAGCTCTGTGACTCTGGGGGCCGTGGCATCTGTGCCTGCAGAGTAGCGGGTACAGGCTTTCCCCAGGGGCCTCACAGGTCAGGAGTGAGAGTGGGATGTCAACACCAGTGGCTTCCAGCCCCATCTCGAAGGTCAGGAGCCACCCAGGGGACCTGCCCACGTTGGCCTCTCTAGGACCTGGATGGTGAGGGGTCCCCAGGCCCCGGCCACCGATGGGGCTCTCCCAGGTTCGTGCTCCTCACTTTGCGTCCACATCCTACAGGAGGCTGTGCGCGCTGATTCCTTGGAAGGGCAGATTGACGGCCCTAGGGACACCCTGGACCCTGCGGAGACTGGCGAGAAAACCCTGGTGAGGCCAGTGTCCCAGGGGGGCTCCCTGCAGTCTCCCCCACGCTCCCCACGGCCCGCCAGCACCCGCACCCGGAAGCACACCTTCGGACTGCGCTGCGTCTCCAGCCGGACGGCAGCCCCAGGCGGAGAGGAGGCCGAGGCCTCGGACCCAGCCGACGAGGAGGTTAGCCACATCACCAGCTCCGCCTGCCCCTGGCAGCCCTCGGCCGAGCCCCAGGGCCCCGAAGCCTCTCCCGTGGCCGGCGGCGAGCGGGACCTGCGCAGGCTCTACAGCGTGGACGCTCAGGGCTTCCTGGACAAGCCGGGCCGGGCGGACGAGCAGTGGCGGCCCTCGGCGGAGCTGGGCAGCGGGGAGCCTGGGGAGGCCAAGGCCTGGGGCCCCGAGGCCGAGCCCGCTCTGGGTGCGCGCAGAAAGAAGAAGATGAGCCCCCCCTGCATCTCGGTGGAACCCCCTGCGGAGGATGAGGGCTCCGCGCGGCCCCCTGCGGCGGAGGGCGGCAGCACCACCCTGAGGCGCAGAACCCCGTCCTGTGAGGCTGCCCTTCACAGGGACTCCCTGGAGCCCACAGAGGGCTCAGGCACCGGAGGGGACCCTGCAGCCAAGGGGGAGCGCTGGGGCCAGGCCTCCTGCCGGGCCGAGCACCTGACCGTCCCCAGCTTTGCCTTCGAGCCGCTGGACCTCGGGGGCCCCAGTGGAGACCCTTTCTTGGACGGTAGCCACAGCGTGACCCCAGAACCCAGAGCTTCCTCTTCAGGGGCCATAGTGCTCCTGGAACCCCCAGAAACAGAGCCTCCCATGCCCGTCAGTGACCCCCCAGAGAAGAGGCGGGGGCCGTACCTCACAGTCCCCCAGTGTCCTCTGGAGAAACCAGGGTCCCCCTCAGCCACGCCTGCCCCAGGGGATGGTACAGATGACCCCGTGTAGCTCGGGGCTTGGTGCCGCACAGCGCTTTGGCACTGGGGTCTGGGGGCCCCGCTGGGGTGGTGGCCCAGGCGGAGCCGTGCGTGGACCCTGACTTGGGTCCCGTCGTGAGCAGAGAGGCCCGGGGAGGATGACAGCCCAGGCCCTGGTTCTCTGCCTAGTGAAGCGGGAGTGGCTACTGGGCCCCGAGAGCCCCCGTCCGTTCTGGTTCGGGCTTCTTGGAGTTTTGCTGCCAGCCGAGGCTGTGCGGGCGGCTGGGTCAGCGTCCCGTCGTGAGAGAAGCTGCGTTTGTGGGACGAAGACCAGGCACCCGCCAGAGAGGGGAAGGTACCAGGCTGCGTCCTCTCAGGCTGCGCATTGTTACAGGACACTCACTGGGGGCCTGGGCCCTTGCCGGCAGCAGGTGCGGCCACCGCGGCCCAAGGCCACCTTCACTCACAGTCTGAGTTCTTGTCCGCCTGTCACGCCCTCACCACCCTCCCCTTCCAGCCACCGCCCTTTCCGTTCCGCTCGGGCTTCCCAGAAGCGTCCTGTGACTCTGGGAGATGGTGACATCACATCACTAAGGAGCCGACTCCGTGGAGTAACGCGCCCGGCACCGACGCAAATCGGGCCTCCCCTCCATCTGGGGGCTTTGGCCGCGAGATTCCCGTTGACACTTTTGTTTTGTGTGCTTTTAAATTCAGGTTAAATGTTGCAATAATCTGATGCGGAAGACTCAGCTTCTCAAGGGAGAGGGAGGGGGCGGAGCGGAATAAATAGTAACTTATTTAAGAAACGCGCTTGGATTCCTGCCATCAGTTGGGGCGGGGAAGGGAGCGCCATCCCCAGATGGGCGCAGCAGACACTTGGCCAGCAGGACACAGGAGACGAGCAGAAGGAAGAATCCGGGGAGGAAGAAACCAGCCAGGAGGGGGAGCCTGGGGTACCCAGACCCTGGGCCCCCTGAGGCTGTGGTGTGGCGGCGGATCCAGCTCACATAGGCGGGGACACGGGTGTAGACCCCTGGCCTGTTGGGGCGGCCGCAGCCCTCACCCCAGCTCACAATGCCAGCCTGCACCCAGGCACCGTTCACCTGGCAGACCAGGGGCCCCCCCGAGTCATCCTGAGGACAGAGAAGGCGAGCATGGGGAGCCGAGAAGGTGGGGAGCCCCCCCCGGGCTGCACCCACCCCCGTCCTCTGTCACGGCCTGGCGGGCTCACCTGGCAGGCATCCCCGGGGCCCTGGGCACACAACATGTCGGGCCGAAGGATGCTGCCCCCAGGGCCAGGGTAGTCCCGGCGGCAGGTCTCTGTGTCCACCACGGAGACTTCCACCTCCTGAAGGCTGTAGGGGGGTGGCAGAGGCTCTGGGGTGGGGGAGACAGGCTTCAGGGAAGGTTGGAGCACCAGGCCCTGCCCTGGGGGGATGGGAGACCTTGCCAGACACAAGTCCAATACCACTGTGACCCTCGTCATGGCACATGGGTTGTGATCTGATGTTTGGCCGCTGCTCTGGACCCACACGATAAGCTTTGAAAAGGGACAGCCGACGGGGGCGGCCTTGGCCGGGTGTGCAGGCCACCAGGAGCAGGTGGTGGCATCAGCGTCCCTCAAGCCAGCTCTCTTCCAGCTGCCCTTGCCTCCCTCCATCCCAGCATCCCCACGCAGGCTCCTCACCTCCCTCCCGCGTGTAGCCCCAGCCAGTCACCCAGCACCGGCTCCCAGGGCGGAAGTCATCTGAGGCCTCCGGGAGGCAGACGGGCAGGATCCAGCTGGAGAGGGTCACGGGGACACTGAGTTGCACCAGGGCGATGTCCCCGCCGGACCCCGGCGGTCCTGAGGGGCTGGAGTGCAGGATGATCTGCCTCACGGTGGAGAAGTGGGAAGACAGAGTGATCTCCAGCTCCCCTAGGTGCACCTGATAATCGGAAGAATTCAGGGACCTGGGAGGGAAGGTGGGTGGGTGTTGCGGGCATCAGTGCCCTGAGAGGGGCCGGCTGCAGAGGCCGGAGGTGAGCATCGGCCCTGCCCAGACCCCACCCCTGCGGGCATCTGAAGCCCAGCTCTTCCCTCCTGGGCTCGGGACACACACAGCCTGGGCAGTGGCCTCGCCCTCCAGGGTCCAAGGACCACGGCAGCACCTTGGGGTTCCTGCCAGCGCCCGGAAAAGCCAGCAGCACACCGGAGACCAGCAGGGGCTAGTCAGGAGGCAGATCGCAAGCTCAGTTTCACATGAAGAGACAGCGGCGGGGGCGCGGGAGGGAGCCGTCGGTCCCTAGAGGTGAGCAGAGACCGGCAGAACCTCACAGAGAGTGGGCAGCCGGCTCCTCCCTTTCCACTGGAAGGAAACAGGCTCAGAGTTCCCAAGCCTCAGAGTGAAGACCCAGTGGAAGCCTGTGCGCTGGCGTAGGCCCCACTCAGGCCTGGACGTTCAGACTGCCCCTGCCCAGCCAGACTCACCCGGAGAAGCAGTGGGCAGCTGTGAGCACCCACTGGGGGCTGAGCAGGGACCCGCCACACACGTGCACCCTCCGCAGGCGGAGGCTGGCCTGCCATGGCCATGCGCCGGCCCGGGCAGCGTGGCCCCCCACGATCCGGCCTCCTGCACCCGAATGCTGCGGCTGGCCACACCCTAAGTCGAAGGAGGAAGGGGTGGCTGGTGGGGATCCCAAGAAGCCCACTGTGCTTCCTCCAGGAAGCCTTCCCTGACCACACCTGCCTTCTCGGGGACTTCCCTCTTCAGCTCCCCTGTCTGCCGGCCTTTCCCCGCAAGCCTCGTGGGTGCAGCAGAAATGACAGCCAGCAGCCGTGAGCGCGCCCGGTGCGCAGGCTGCGGTTTGTAAGTGTCGTGCTCCACAAACGAACCAGGGCTCCCGGGCAGCTAGAAAGGGGCTCAGAGAACCGTGGAGCCCCCGAGAAGGCCGGGAGTGGCTGCCTGGTGGGCAGTTGTCCTTCAGGGGAGGTGGAGATGTTCGGAGCTGGATAGAACTAGGGGGGTACACGGCACTGTCCGAGGTGCTCAGGGTCTCTGAACTGGACGCTTGATAATGTAACTTTATCTTCTGTGAAGTTCATCTCAGTAAATTAGAAAGAAATTAAGAGGAAGTCGGCTTGAGGCCCACCGGCCGCACCTGGGGCCGCCTGAGCTGGATAATTTTGCTGGCAATGGAGTGTGGCCACTCGGCTGCGTGGAAGGGAAGCTGGGATGTAGACAGACGTAGAGATTTATAGACAGGGAGTGGGACTGGGGGTGGGGCGTGGGCTCTCCTGCACAGCGAAGCCCCTAGCTGGCTCCTGGGCCACAGTGGGGACCCTGCGGGGAGGAAGTTCAAGGAGGGCCAGGTGGTTTCCACGGCCTCAAAGCATCTCCCAAGGTACAAACTGACCGCAGTGCTGGGGGAGACGGCCCCGGCAGCAGACCCCGGCCAGCCTCCCCCAACCGAGAGATGTGAGCGGAAACCACCTGACAAACCATGGCCTCCCCAGTGGGACCCCCAGGGAAGGAGAGGGTCGTCTCCGAGGCCCCCCTGCCAGGCCTTGCCTGCACCCACCCCCACACCGCACACCTGTTGGAGACGTACCTGGCTGCAAAGCCCTGAGGGACACACCTGCGGGAAAGAGACGGAGGGCCCAGGATGGAGGGGGGCTGCCGAGGGGAGGGGTGTGCAGGCTCCAGAGGCCCCTGCCCGACACCTGCCAGGCCTCAGGGTGACACTGGGGTGGGCCCTGGCCGTGAGCGGAGGGGCCCGGCCTGGTGAGGCTGGGTCAGCCGCTGTCTCACTGGCCCGGGACTGGGTGGAACCAGCCACGGGCCATAAACGGCAGCTGGAGGCCGGGAGTTTGGCCTCAGGCCTGGGCCTCCTCCCCACCCTCCAGGTCCTGCTCGGGGGAGAAATCACCAGTATTCTGGGTCCTGGGACTCCCGGCACCCCCAACTCCCACCCGCACCTCCCTCCTGCCTCTGTCCCCAGGAACGGACAGCCGGGCCTCCAGCCAGGGGTGCAGTCTCCTCAGAGGAGACACGGGGCCCCACAGGGTGGGGGCTCAGCGTGTTCCTCACTCCCTCAGGCCAGCCCCCAGCTTCACCCCCACCAGGGATCCAGGCTGGAAGCAGATGCCCCCCCCATCTTCATACCCAGGCCAGGTCACCCACCGGGCACAGCCAGGAACAGGAGGAGGCCACGGGCCCCGAGGGCCATGGTGTCTGCCCACTGTAGGGAGAAGAAGGAGGGCCCGCCTGACCCTTGGACCTGCTGGGCGTGGGGGGTAGGGGTGGCCACACACCTGCTGTCAGGCAGGGCGGGAGGACGGAGGAGGCGGGAGCTCCACAGATGGCCCCACCTGTTCCTTCTGCACATCTCCTAAGAAGGGTCGTCATCTTCATTTATCCCCATGTGGATGCCACAGCCCTGGCACCAAGTGGCCGGCAAGGCTCAAGGGCACAGTGGTGAAGAACAGAAAGCACCACTTCTCATCCTCTGTCTGCTCCGGGGCCAGGGCTGAGGGAGAGGTAAGTGTTCCTATCAGTGCCGCCCCCTCTAAGAAACGCTCCCTGGTTCCCTCGGCACACTGGCCCCCTCTCCTCCATCCTCTGGGAGCCCAGTCCTCGGGGTTCCTCAGGACAGTCCCAATCAAGGCCCAGCAGCCCCATGGAGACAGCTCAGGCCCTCGTGACAACCACCCTCTGAGAAGTCCCTGTCCCCACATCCGGCAGCAGGTCCCGTGCTCGCTCGGCAGATCAGATGGGCGCCGTTTCGCTGCCCAGCCTGGACTGGCCCTTCCTAACCGTCCTGGCCGACCCAGCCTGATGACCCAGCTGATTAGGGGCCCTGGGCAGTGCCCGGGACTTTCCTGCCCCCCTCCCCAGATCCAAATCACAGGCCGGGTTGGAGGGTCCGGCTGAGACCCTCTAGGTCAGGGATCCCCTCTTTGATGTGGGGAACTGATGCACGGGGGTGGAGTTGCCTGACCACCCACCAGGGTGTGGCCTCCTGGGCACAGACTTGGCCTCCTGCACGCCAGCGTGGGGGGCAGCCACGGCTCTGAACTGTAGGTTCAGTGTTTTTCCTGGTGACGAATAAGGACAACAGCAGCCTCTCGCTTCGCATGCGGGGCCAGCAGCGCACCCACGACCGGCACCCTCCTCCCTCACGGCGGCCGCACACCTGGCGGCAGGGGCACACCTGAAGGGGTTGCCTTGGGGGAGGCGGGACAGTCCCATCCCACACAAGGGAGTAGAGTCTGAGCCACCAGTCCGTGGCCCAGGGGACCCCTACCCAGGGCGATGTCATGCAGTGGGGAGGGAGCCTGAGGGGCAGGGTCTTCATGGAACCAGGTCCTCTAGTCCTGACCTCGAGGGCTGTCCCCAGGTCCCCACAGGCGGAGACTTCAGGGCCCTCACCTGTCCCAACGCAATTCACCTGCAGCACTGGGGACCCCGTCTCTCTGCCTGTGCCCCAGCATGCCGCTCCCAGCAGTGTGTTCCACACCACCCAGATTCCAGGCCTGCTGGGGAGAAGGAAGCTCCACACACCATCCCGTGAGCCCCACATTCCTGTGACGTGGTGCCTTCCGCCTCTCCCCCCGTCGGACAGGAGAGCCAACTGAGGAACAGGGAGGGGGCCTGGACCTGGCAGTGGCCCCCAGCATGGTGGGGTCTCCTGTAGCCCAGGACCCTGGGAGACCTGGGGTTGCTTCTGTCTACAGTAACCTGGCCACCTGGGCGCTGTCCCCTCAGTAGGAACCCTGGACCCCCCACTCGCCCTCCCCCTCACACCCCCGGGGGACAGGGAACCAGGGCCTCCTGCCAGCAGCCACGTGGGTGATCTTGGAGCAGGTCCCCCCATCCCAGTCAAAACGCAGGTGGCTGTGGCCGTGGCCAGCGTCCTGCCTGCCACGTCCTGAGAGACCCTTCCTGCTGAAGCTGATGCTGACTTCCGCCAGTGTCACTGGGCTGAGCTTCGGCGAGCTTCCCGGGAATCTTGGATCTAATTTGGGAAGCTCTGGGACTGGAGCCTGCCCCGCCCCCTCCACCTAGTGGCCGGCCCCTGCTGTCCACCTTCCCTTACACCGGAAACCCCGGGTCCGTGTTGCTTCCCTTTGGGGTCTCATGCCTCCGACTCCCACCCTGCAAAACCGTCGCTGGGCGTGCGGAAGTGCTTCTAGGGTCTCAGTGCTCACTGGGAGTCACCCCGTGCTGTCCCTGTGATCCCTAGAAGGTGGGATGCGCCAGAGGGAGGAAGGAGGCCTGAAGTTCCAGATCCATCTTCATAAACGAGACGCTGGGCCTGCAGGACAGGAGCCGAGGGATGGGCTCCTGGTGCCGTTCTGCCCCCGCCCTCCAGGGGCTGCAGAGACAGAGGTCACGTGGGACTGAACAGGGCACTGGGAGTCGAGTCCACCCCTTTCGAGGACAGAGGTCATTTGCAGAGATCCGGCAGACTGAATGCACGTCTCTGCATCGGACAGTTGGAAGGAAAGAGTGAATGGTTTCTTAGAGTTTTTTTCAACCAGAATAGCCTAGCCCCACATTTCATTTATGAGTATAATCACGTTCAAATATAAAACGCAAACAAGAGCCTGGGATAAAATGCAATACTCGCCAGATGCAAAGGGCTCACATATTGATGTAGAGAAAGACCTCAAAATGAATTTGAAAATCTGAAACTCAGGCCGGGTGCGGTGGCTCACGCCTGTCATCCCGGCACTTGGGGAGGCCAAGGCAGGTGGATCACTTTGAGATCCGGAGTTCGAGACCAGCCTGGCCAACATGGTGAAACCCCATCTCTCCTGAAAATAACAAAAATTAGCCGGGCATGGTGGCGGGCGTCTGTAATCCCAGCTGCACGGGAGGCCAAGATGGGAGGATCGCTTGAGCCCAGGAGTTCAAGGCTGCAGTGAGCCCTGATCACACCACTGCACTTCAGCCTGGATGACAGAAGTGCAGGCTGAGTGAGATCCTGTCTCAAAGCAAACAACTGGGCAAAGCAAAAGCGTTGGACGGAGGGGCCGGGAGAAGACCTCGTGAGAAGCGTGCGGTAGGGGCTTGTGATGGGCAGCCCCAGGGCTCCCAGTGACCATGCTCTCTCTTGACCGTTGTGGGGACCTGGCTGTCCTTTACAATCATCTTTAAATTGCCGGAGTGGCTCTGTGTGACCTGAATGCTGGGTGCGTTGTGTGGGGAGAAGCCATCCCCAGGGACCAGGGCTGCCCAGGAGACCCCATCCCACAGTGAATGGCTGTGCCTTGGGGGCCGGGAACCCGCAGCTCCGGCAGCTGTCCCCAGCACACCTGGACGCCTCCTCCCCCAGTGACATCCACAACCAGAAACAGCAACCCACACCAGTGATTTTCATGCACTTTAATGAGGTCCAGCGCTCAGAAGGATTAGCACCCACCACCAGCTAGCTGGGCAGGGGAGGGCCGGAGGGCCCCGTGCAGGGGTCAGGCTCAGGACAGGGGAGAGGGCTCAGGATGGGGAAGGGTCCTTAGGACAGGGGAAGGGGCTCGGGACAGAGCAGGGGGCTCAGGACAGGAAGGGGCACTCGGGACGGGGCAGGGAAGGTGTGGGGGGCAGTAGCCACCTGGGTCGGAAGCAGTGGTGGTTTGGACAGGAGGGGCTGGCCCTCTGCTGACCTGAGTGACACAGGCCTGGCTTAGGGCTTCTCGGGGACGTAGCGGTGGATCCAGTCCAAGTAGTAGGTGACGCGAGTGTAGATTCCGGGCCGGCTGGGCTGGGCACAGCCCTCGTCCCAGCTGACCACGCCCGCCTGCAGCCAGGTGCCATTCACCTTGCAGACCAAGGGCCCTCCGGAGTCGCCCTGCGAAGGGCAGGGGTCAGTGCTCGCCGGCCAGGCCTGGGCGTGGGGACTGTGGTGCGGGGCGGGGAGCACGCAGAGCCCACCTGGCAGGAGTCCCTCCGGCTGTTCCCGGCACACAGCATGTCGTCACGGATGATGCGGACGTCGTCTCCCGTGTAGAGTCCGGAGTGGTATTTCGCATCACAAATGTGGTTTTCCATTATGGGGACCTTCACCTGCTTCAGGGGAAATGGCGGTGGGAGGGGCTCTGCGGGTGGGGAAGAGGGTGCAGACTCAGGAGGGGGCCCGACAACCCCCACCCGGAGCCCAGAGGGAGCCCAGGGGCTGGGCTGTGGCTAAGACCCAGCACCCACTTCCCACTGTCCCCAGCCCCACCATCATTGTTCACGTCGCCCCAGCCGGTGACCCAGCACGGCGTCCCCGGAGGCAAGGTCTCCGAGGCAGGGGGCAGGGTGACCGTGTGGACGTGGCTGGAGACGTTCACGGGCTCCTCCAGCTCCAGTAGGGCGATGTCCGCCCCGGTCTGGACAGTGTAGAACTGCGGGTGCACGATGATCCTGCTGACCGGCAGCAGCTGGTCCTGATAGTAGAGGTGCTGCTCCCGCAGCTGCACCCTGAGGTCGGCCAGATCCTTGACGTCCCTGGCCAGCGGAGGCTCCCATTCAGGGCTCTGGGCAGCCTCCAGGAGCACCCGGGAGCCAGGGCACACATCCGGCCCTCGCCCACCCCACCAGGCCCCGGGAGACTCACGGTCCCACGCAGTGTGCCGCGGTCAGCACCCACTGGGGGTGGATGAGGGAGCCCCCACAGATGTGCATCCAGTACTGGTCGTGGAGTCTCAGGCTCACTTGCCAGGGCCACTTGCTCCTGGGGGCCTCCTTCCCCCCGACGATGCCCGCTCGCTGCAGGGCCTGGGCTGGGGCTGGGGCAGGAGCCAGTTCAGGACCAGGAAGCAGCCCCACGCCTGGGCCCAGCCCTTCCCTGTGTGGGGGCCAACCCGGCCTCCCCAGAAGCCATCCAGGCCCTGGCCTGTGGAATGTGGTGAGGGGCAGGGTGGACCCCGGCTGGGACTCACCAGGGGCCGCGTGGGCCGGGCTCACCAGGACGGGCAGTGCCAGCAGCAGCAGGTTCAGCATCTGGGGAGCAAGGAGGGGCATCGTGGGCCTGGCCGGGGCTCACGGGGCAGGGCTGGGGGCTGCAGATTGTGGGGTGAAGAATGGAACTGGCACGGGGGGCCTGGGTCTTGGTGCTCTGAGTCTGAGGCTGGGCCACTCTGCTGCAGGTGCCACTGATGTCAGGGTCTCTGAGAGTGGGGACTTACCCTGGCCGCTCCCTGTTCCTTCTACCCAGCAGGCTTTCCCCTCCCCATTTATCCTTCCAGATCAGGACGGCGTGGAGGAGGGGCGCTGCGCCCTCCCATCCAGATACGGAGGAAGTGGGTGACTCAGACCCAGGGCCCCCATGTAACACGTGCCCCCGCCACCCTGACGCCCTCTGTGTGTGGGGCTGCCAGGCAGGCCCCGCCGAGGGCTGAGCACTGGAGGCTCGCAGCTCCGCCTGTGAGCTGGTGGATCCCAGCACCGGAACGCACCACCTTCCCGCTGGTGGGATCAGCTGCCCTGTCCCGGTGCCAGGAGGCCTTCAGGCACAGCTGCACCCAGGCGGCCTGGCTGCCCCATGCTACAAGACCAGTTGTCCCGAAACCTGTTTCCCCAAGAGGGACACGGGATGGGGAACTCATGACCACGGGCCACCCTCTGAGAGACGGGAAGGTGCCCACGGGGTGGGGACATGACAGGTGTCACCTCTCCTACAGACTCCGAATCCACGGGGGTGGGGCCAGCCCTCCTCGACTCACTTGGTGGGGGGCTCACAAGAGACCCCCTTGTCAGATGAGGAAACAGCTTTGAGAGCGGACGGCACCGAGTGTCCTCAGCCAGGAAGGGGCCCTGCTCTGCACCCTCGGTATGAGACCCAAGTCCTCCTACAAGTCCTCAATGTCCACCTCTGGGGCTGTCCGTGCAGGTCCCCTGGTCTGCAGGTGCCTCATTATCATGGAATCTGAGCTTCATCCGCAGAAGGAGGAGCAGACGGGAGTGGGGTGTGACCCCAGGAGACCCAGCCCGGCTCCCCACGGACTCACCCCAGCCCCAGCCCAGCTCCCCACGGACTCACCTCCAGCCCAGACCCAGCTCCCCGTGGTCTCACCCCTGGTCCCAGCTCCCTGTGCTCTCCGTCCATCCAGCACTGACACTGTCCCTGCAGGTCCGTCCACCCCACCTCCCGACTCCCCTGGGCCTGCTGGTCACCGAGGCCTCCAGCCCACCTCCTCCCCTTCTGAGCCCCAGAACCCCCTGCCTGTCCCCCGACTGCCAACACAGGGCCACTCCAGGGCTCCCCCTGCCCCCACCCTGCCTGGGACCAGCCTGGTTTGGGGCTGACGCTGCACACCGAGGCCATATCCACCTGAACTCCTTCCAGGCAGCATCCCCAGGGCACAGGCAGGGGTGGCCCAGACCGCTCCTGCTCACGACCCTGCTCCTCATCCACTCTCTGGACAAACTCCCCAGAGGCCTCCATCTGCCCCGTCCTGGTTCCATGAACGAGGCCCACAAGAGGGACCCTCAGGAGCCCAGGAAGTGAGGGGATGGGGTGATGGGGGACACCAGGGACAAGGGTGGGGCAGGGACACGGGAGACACCAGGGTTGACAGTGAAGAAGAGACTCAGGGGACCCTAGGGCTGGGGGAACCCGGGACACATGGGGCTGTGGTTGGGGGAACCCGGGGACACACGGGACTGTGGCTGGGGGAACCCGGGACACACGGGACGCCTGGGCTGGGGGAACCCGGGACACACGGGATGCCAGGGCTGGGGTGTGCAGAGGTCTCTGGCACCCCCGCGTCAGGGGCTCTGGTCCCTCCTCCTAGGAACGCTCGGATGGGGTCAGGCCTGGGATGAGGACCAATCAGCACCGTGGGGATGCGAGAGCTTTGAGTGGCTAACACTGGGCCCATCAGGGCGAGTCCTGGGCAACCTGCCCCGATCCCGGCCCCTCACCTGGGGTGCTGCAGGGCTGGGTCCCAGGCCATTGACAGACATTGGGAAAGAGGCCACACGGGGCAGTGTCCCTGAGAGAAGGGTGGGGAGCCGGGTTAGACGACAGTGACATGTCGGGACTCAGTGCAGCAATGGGAAACAGCCCCAGGAGCTTGTGGGCTGGGGAGACGGACACTGGCATGTGGAGAGGCCCAGGCAGCAAGGACTCATGAGACAGAAAACTGGACAGGAGAGAACCGCACAGAAGCCCGGAGGCATCCGCAGGGGGTCCCCCTGGCGTCCTTGGCCCAGTGCCGGAGATGCAGAGAGACGCAGAAGTCACGTCAGAAACAAGAACCACCAGAGAAGATGGGCAGAGGAGTCCGGGAGTGCCCGATGGGCAGAGGAGTCCGGGAGTGCCCGATGGGCAGAGGAGTCCGGGAGTGCCCGCAGAGCTGGGAATACCACGTGTCCCCACCGGCCGAGTGTAGAAACCTTGTCAGAGGCAGGCATTGGAGAGTCCTCAGAAAGGTATCGAAGGGTACTGGGGGAGAAAATTTTCCCAAAACCGAAGGCTTCTCTGGACCCACCCTCACAAAGCTGAAAAGCAAACCGCAGACGGATCCAAATGATTGCAAGTAACTTAACTGCCTGTGAGAACACATCCTCAAAATCATGGTCAAGAATATAAACAATCCCAGACGCAACAGACCTCAGAGAGTTATTCACGAGACGTGGGCTGGCTCAAAACAAGCAGGCCCTGCCGGGTCGGTGGCTCACCCTGTAATCCAGCACTTTGGGAGGCCGAGAGTGGGCAGATCACTGAGGTCAGGAGATCGAGACCATCCTGGGACATGGTGATAACCCGTCTCTACTAAAATCAAACATAAAAATTAGCCAGGCATGGTGGCACGTGCCCTGTAAACTTACTCTCATAATAAAAATACAACTTAGCGGGTGGCAGGTGGCCTGGTCATCCTGGCTACATTGGGAAGCTAGAGACAGGAGAAATCGCTTGAACCCGGGAGGCAGAGGGGGGCGCCACTGCACTCCAGCAATGGGTTGACAGAGAGAGTTTTCTCAAAAAAAAAAAAAAAAAGAAACGTTCACGCTCTCCAGGACTGGTTAAAATATAAAATCAAAGTCCACAATGCCTCCAAAACTATACCACCCTCTCAATGTCTGCCCTTGCGTACTACCCTTGTGTAGTACCCTCCCACATTGACCTAGTCTTGGCATATTACTTGCTTTGGCCCAGGAACAACAGCAGACATGATGCACAGAGCTTGCTATAAGTACTGCATACAGGCCTTGTGCCCTTCAGTGAACTTTGAGATCACCAACCGTGAAGACGCCCAGAAGAGAAGCCAAATGAAGAAGAGGCCAGCTACCTCAGCGCTAGTCACCATAATTAACTACCACTCGAATAACCTGAAAAACTCAGACAAGGCCAGCAACCCACAGAATGGCAAGAA